CTAGATGTGTATAAGAGACAGGTCTAGTACGGAATGTTGAAGGAAGGGATAGTCTAGGGTTCAAGAACTACCTACATGGACCAATGGATGCAGGAACAAAGCTTAAGGTCAAATTCAGGACCGGGGACATAGGCCTTCGAGAACGTCGACGAAGACATAGGACGGTAGACGAGGAAGACGACGAGTTCAAATGTGATTGCGGCTTCGAATGCGAAGACCGTGTTCATGTAGTCGCGGAATGTCCGTTGTACAAGAAGGAGAGGGAAGTGTACGTGACTGAGCTGGGAAAAATAGATGCAACGTACAGGGAGATGTTTGAGNGCATAGGAGGTGGGTTGAAAAGGCGGGAAGGGATATCGTTAGGATAGACAGACTAGGGAAGACATTTTTGAGCCACCTTTGGCAAAGTAGAAAGGAACGATTGGCCATCGGTGATCGGTCCTGTGGGAACAATGCTGCGTCCTCTCGAGGACGCGTGGTCAAATGGTCTAACCGCTAACGCATGCAAAACATAAGAGTACGCCCCCCCCCCTCCCGGTTAAAAAGGACTAGAATGGAACACTGTACCAAAGGACGCCAGACATACATGTACAACTACATAGGTAAGAGGATTCGTTCCTCATCCCTTATCTTCCTCCAATGATTCGCTCATTCCATACCCCCATCCGTCAGCCATACATGCTACAACTGTTCGCGGATGGGTCACTTGTTGAAGTTCTTTCGCATGTCTTCTCTAGCCTCCATTTCTCGAAGGTTGAACCCAACCACGAGCTGCCACATGCATAACTGAGCCATGCCGGAGCCTGTTTGTTGAGTCAATGTTCTTGACAGAATCTCGCTGGCCGAACGAGAGGAGAAGGACGAAGGAGAAGGACAGCAACAGCACGGATACACGGCAAACGGCACACGGGGACAGCAGGGGTGGGGTGTTGAGTTGAGTTGGCTCGGGCGGGATCCGCTGTATTCAAATCGGATATCGTCACCACAACATCACGTGCTACCCTAGGATGAACAAGCTGCTACAGCCTGCCATGTGATACGAAGCGGTTCACATGCGTATGATAGCAACGGGTGGCAAATAACCTCGTAGCCTTGTGTGACGCACGTCTACAGATCAACCACAACTACCGTACTATACCTCAGACACTTCGGGATGTGAAAATGATGAGAGATAGTTTCGATTCGATTCGTCACATGTGCTTCTTACCGGTCACCCATGCCACCCATCACCGTTTCCACAAGAAGCCGCATAGACTCCAGCACGTCAGGGCTCACGCCGGCCGTAAGCCCCTGGAATGGAGACCATTGCACAACAACACCAATAACAACAGTCATAGGCAAGGCAGACAACACAGGCAAGCCAACATCAAACACCAGAGTCGATCATATCAGGTCAATTCGCTCACCGTCAGATATCGAACGGGCACGAATGTAGGTAGGTGGGTCTTTCCTATCATCACGTGCCATTCTACAGAGAAGGGCCCAAAACAACAAGAAAATAATCAAGCACATTGTGCGATAACTGGCCAGGGAAAATATTCGTAGGATGATAAGCAGCAGCATCTCGAAAGGCTGCCGCCGCTGCTCAAGACATGCTATGACCGCACTTCAACCATGTATTCGCTTTTCAGCTCTTCTCCCAATCATATTTCGTATGTTTCGAGTGAGGCCGCACATCTTGTCGTATCATGTCATGCTCCTAAAAGTTGGCTTCATGTACACATACCACGTACATGCGCTATTTATTTCGTGCTGTCTTGATAAAAATTTCTTCGGTATTGGCTCATGACGTCGCTGTAGTAACCGCCCACGCATACCTGCAGCTGATGTTCCGGCATTGACTTGATGTAAACCAAAAGGTCTTGCTGCACCGCCTCCTCCTTCTGGGTTTGCACCTTCAACAGCTGAGCCTCCAGCTGCTCCACCTGTCACGAAAACGACAAATCATCAAACCATTTGCAGGTTTGCACTTGGTGCATTAGCTTGATTTTGAAAAACGTTTCGGATTTTTGTCCCGCATTGACATTAGAGTGGCTGCGGATTGGGATGGAGTATGCATAGGAGAATCAAGGAAGCAAAGGGATCGCGTAGAGTTAATACCTACAGCATCCGGAGTGAAGAAGAAGATTGATGACTGCAAACCCCGCTATTTACATGGCCGTGTGAGCACTCTGCTATTTACATGGCCGTGTGAGCACTCTGTCGAGTGTTGAGAGATGCACGAGGACGAAAAGCCACATCAGAGATGAATCAGAGATGAAAAGACAACACGACGAGCCCGGCGAAGGCCACGCCCACACCATCATCATCTGACTTGAGTGCTCCTACAGCAGTACTTCGGCCGTGACCCGTCACCAACTTTTTCCGAGTGGTTTGTACCCTATTTTTGTTTTTTTTTTCCCGCGGCGTCGCATGTGCCGGGTTTTGAGACCACGGGCTCCCCATTTTTGTGGACTATAGAGCTAATGTGAGAAACAACAAACAACAACTAACCAACGACGGCGACATGTGGTGGCGACATGTGGTGGCAACACACAGTGGCAGGCAACACCCAACGCCCAAACCCAACAGAAACGCGCGCACCTCTTGCCTTGAAGGCGGAAACGGTAAAAAGAGAAGGGTGCAACTTCTCTGGGAGGTTTGTTGTTCGTGGGTCTGCAGGTAAGTGTTAGGTAGGTCGCAGGTGGGGGTACCTCGCGGTCGGAGGAAGCGAATGATCTCCCGAGCCAAACAGGGTTGAGGGTGGTTGCAGGATCCAGATTCGTGCCAATGACGAACGTAAAGCGTTGCAGCACGCGTACAAGGCTAATATATATGTAGAGCGTGGCCGAAGAACTAAGTATATAAGTAACAAATAATAACGCAAAGGTATCGCTCGACTCACCTGCCCCCTAAGCTCGGCCATGTAGGCATCGGCATCCACCTCCATTGCGCGTTCTGTCTCCTTATCCTCGTCATAGGTGAGCTTGATCTTGCCCGAAATCTTTGGTCTAGCGATGATGAGGTTGCCATCATCGTCCATTTCCACGCGCGAAGTGCTGAGAGATTCGTCTTCCGCTTCCTCACCGACAATGCTCTTGCCTAGAGGCAGTGAGAATCATAGAGTTAAGAGAATGATACGCCAGGGAAAGGACAACTCATTATATGAATGTCAACGTCGCCAGTCGCCATGGCATCGTGTGGGTGTCGTGTGGTGTTCTCGTAAGCAACAAATAAAGGTAGCGGAACGAAGGTCACGTCAAGACAGCACGGGCGGCCCTCGGCAATCCACACACATCCACGACTTGCAACCGCTTGTTCATGTCCTATGAACAACCGTTGTGTTATCCTTGCTTGTATCGAAGAAATAAATGTCGTCGAATGTGCTCCTGTATTTATGTTTTACGTGTACGTATTTCACCTGGGGGCAGGGCGGCCGAAGCTCGCATCGAAGATTGCAGAGAAAGGCGGTACTCGGCATTTTTGAACATGTACCCAGTCATCTGCAGCTGGAACATGAGGTTAGCAAGCGCATCCCCAGTGGCGATGGCCGTAGTCTCGAAAGCATGCCTAGGGAGAGATCCCAACAGCCCAAGCACCGTCGTTCGCACTGCCTCCTGAACCTGTTGGCGTTGTGCGTTGAACCACATGCTCAGTTCAAAATTACATTGTACACTCGTAGCCGCGTGCATGGACGAATCAACACCAAAGGTGAACACATGACGCGAGTCAGCACGAGGACGCTTGCATCATCAACACAGCACCCAGAGGTTGTGTTCACCGACTGCGGTGCTCCTCGGTGAGCATGCCCTACACACTGAACACACCGCTCGTTCTCAGCGGGACGCCGCTCGTTCTCAGCGGGACGCCAACATGCGAGGAGGAACGACTGCAAACAACTCAAGTACCGCTGTACTGCTGTTTTTTGTTTTTGTTTGTTTTCTCCCATCATTGGACTTTGTCGTCTGCCCCTCTGGCCCCTATCCTCCACTTCTACTAGCTAGACGACCCAACCGGGGTCACTGTGTGTGTCTTTATTATTAGCATCGACCGCGCTAACCGGCTGACCAATGAAAAGACGTCAGTCTTAGTGCGGTTGAAAACACAAAACACTTCTATCTACCATGAACTGGGACCCCGTGAGGGGGCAGCATGGGGGAGGCTAAACTATCCTTCGGATTAAAAACAGAAACAGCAGCAACAGACGAAAAATGCACGCGTCTACCAAGGCTATTACCTAGTACTCGAGTTCGTTTAGGAGTACTTTCACCAGTGTCCTCCTTGTTTTCGCTACCATCATTCTGATCCTCATTTCGACAAGAAGAATCTCTGGGCAGTTCTTCCCTAGCCCTACGTTTCTTGTTGTGGGGAAGGTCATCTGGCTCAAACCCTTTGCTCTCTTCCACTCCTCCATGTTTTTCTGCTCCATCGTCGTCATCCTCCTTTCTCCCCTTTCCCTTTCCTTCGTCTTCGTCACTCCCAAAAGAATTACCCTCATTACTATCGTTGTGTGTGTGTGTGTGTGTGTTTTCGTCCTATTTATTATGGCGACAGTCCCCCCATTTTTCGTGGTGGGACGTATACTACACTTTTAAGCGTATGTAGAGTAATATACTTTTCAGTGTGTTTTTTCGTACAACTACAACCCATCCAAGGTCACACAGGAGGGGGTAAACACCAGGGCTTTTTTCTTCTTTTTATTTCTTTTCATGCCCCACCTTCCTCCTGCGGTGCGTGCTGAATTTTATTTTTATCGCGAGAAGGGTCCAGCCGTCTCTTTCCCTCTTCAACGGCGCTAACGTCGAAGTTTGGTACTCACGAGAGCTTTTGAGCTACATTTCGCTTTCACCCGCAAATTTCGTGAATTTTTTCACCCCGTGGGGATTCGAACTCACGACCTTGCGACTAGCGGATTACGAGGATACCACTAGACCACCGGGGCGACCGGTCACTGCTAAACAGCATTGAAGAAAGTCACCAAGGCAGTAACCCTACAACAGCGGCCAGTTGTGTACACCCGGTCGCCCCGGTGGTCTAGTGGGTAACCTCGCAGCCTGCTAAGGGCNTTCAACGGCGCTAACGTCGAAGTTTGGTACTCACGAGAGCTTTTGAGCTACATTTCGCTTTCACCCGCAAATTTCGTGAATTTTTTCACCCCGTGGGGATTCGAACTCACGACCTTGCGACTAGCGGATTACGAGGATACCACTAGACCACCGGGGCGACCGGTCACTGCTAAACAGCATTGAAGAAAGTCACCAAGGCAGTAACCCTACAACAGCGGCCAGTTGTGTACACCCGGTCGCCCCGGTGGTCTAGTGGGTAACCTCGCAGCCTGCTAAGGGCCAGGTCATGGGTTCGAGTCCCGACAAGTTTTTTCTCGCTAAATAAATCCTGGTCTCCGTTGGAAGCGACGCGCTNTGTCTAGCTGGTAAGTGGAGGATAGGGGCCAGAGGGGCAGACGACAGAGTCCAATGATGGGAAAAAAATAAAAAACAGTAAACAACAAAACCATGTGGCGAATTTCTTGCGGGAGATAGATTCACCACGTGCCGCGAACGCTCGCTCCAGACCACGTCGGGTGTTATCAGAAGTCGACTGCGGCTGTACAAGTATCATACTGGCAGATTGTAAGAACTCTATACTGTATGTAGAGACTGCTCTTGTTCTCACCTTGGGAGAGGAGGTCTTCATGAACCTGCCGATCAGCTCCGTCGGGGAAAGGCGTCGGACAACATCGTAGTAGGGATTCACGTTCTCGTTCTCATCACCAACGAAAAACTCAGACTCTCTTGTCCCATTATCGCTCCGGTACGACAGCGGCAGCGAGTCTCCCTGTGCGAGCAACGACAACGGGGCTAAATCATCGTCATCTGCGTTATCCCCCATTCCAGATCCAATCACTTCGTCATCCTGTTCCTTCACCTCGCCGCCCGCCCCGGCATCCGCCCCGCCCTGCTCGCCTTCGGCATTAGACTCAGCATCAGCGCCTTCGCCCTCTGCCGTACCATCACTATCATGATCGCCAGGTGATGTGGACATCGTGCATGGGCCTACTGAGCGTCGCCGTATGCCCCAACAAGTTGATGTGGTGGTTGTTGTTGTTGCCCTGGTGAAGGCTACGGCTTGCTGCGACACGCTGCGGCGGCGCGCCGCTGGTGGTGATCTGAGGCGTGTCCCCTGGAGACACGAGCACAATCGATCGACAAATGCAGTTTGACGTTAGGTGAAGAGCAATCTCCGTACGAATCACACTCGTGGTAGTGGTAGTGGTAGTTGGTGCTAGTTGTGCGCAACGACGCTCAAGAGGAAATACTACGCACGCAGCAGCGGAAATGCGATGGTGTGTTACGTGGACGGATACACAACGCTGTCAACACTCACCGGTAAAACAAACGCACTGCCTGTGAGCAGCACCGAAGCCACAAAGAGCGCCAACCACCTCGTATCTGCACTAGAAACCATGGTGCGGGAGAGTCGTTGCGGGAGCTGCGAGCTATCTGGGTGTGCACGCCTGTCCGTGTAGAGTAGGCTGAGGCTGATGAAGGCGGGGGAGCGGCAGAAAGAGACAGTCAGAAGTAACGTGTGCGGGACCCTAAAACGTTGGAAGCGGGGACGCGGGTTTTCCATCCCCTGGTTCGGGGTTCATTTTGAGGTAAATACGTATATGTTTGTTTTGGCTTGTGGCCACAACCGGCCAGTAAGTAGTATAACGACGGTAGGTATGGTATCCGCACTTCGTTGCTAGCTAGCGGAGTGTTTGATCATTTTTTGTGTTGACATAGAGGCAACGCCGTGCAAAGAAAACCATAATATAAAAATGTTCATGTTTTTGGGTGTTTCCCTGATGAACCTGGGATCAGGCTCCTCATAAACAGCAGGCTCGTCGTCATCAGGCTCGTCAGCAATCTCAGTGTGTGAGAGGCAAGGTCGCAAGGTCGCATGCAAATATATGTAGGGTGGGCAAAGAACCTGCCGGCGAAATTAATCAATAATAGCAGGTGGGATGACGGCAAAAAAACGCGCGGGTTTGGTTTGCCGTAAACACGCGGGGCTGGTTGGTGGTTGGCCGTATGTACTGTCGGAGCCCTGCCATCGGTTGTTGGACGAAGTAGAATTAAAGCTGGTACTTCGGCTTACGTCCGTAGCGGGACACATGTGAAAAGGGGCACAAGAGCGGCACACATCACGTGCGATCTTGGCAACACACAGCAGACACAGCACACACAGCACACACAGCACCCAGCACATAGCACACAGAGAAGAAGGATAGTGTGGGACATGGAAGCAACACGCCCTCTCTGGTGCTGCCGCTTCTGCTGTACCGCAAGCACACAGACAGCTGCTGCTGCTGCTGCTGCTGCTGCTGCTGCTGCTGTATTTTTTTTTTCTCCCATCATTTTTTTTTTTGGTCTTCACTTCCAATCAGCGCTCACAGCACTGGTGCCGTTTACTACAACCCGTGGCCACACAGAAGAGCCCCTCTCTACCCTCCCCTCCTGCGGTACTCGGCCTTCGATTTTCTATGCGAGAAGAGTTGAGCACTCTCTTCCCTCTGTGTACACACGAACTAGCGCTATCCACCAGGGCCAGGAGCGGAAGCGAGAGAAAAACTCACTTTGCAAGAAAAGCTCGCATACGCCGGGATTCGAACCCCTGACCTGACCTCCACAAGCTGGGCCAGCCAAGAAGTCAACAAAATGGTTAGAAGCGATTTCCGAGCCGGTTTTTACAAATTAGAACCTGAAATTTTGATATGTGATTGGGAACAGTGTTACAAACGCCCCCCAGTCAGGTGCTGTTTTTTTTTTTGGTAAGGTATCCTATATTCAATAAGTTTTTGTGGCTTAAAAAAAAGAAAACGGCGGCACCTGACTCGGGGGCATTTGTAAGACCACTCCCAGTCACATACCAAAATTTCAGCTTCTAGTTCGTGAAAACCGGCTCGGAAATAGCAAATTGCGTAATGACCTCGATACCTGGGTGCAGGGGCGGAAACTGTGTAGGAAAATGAAGGCCTCACAGCCCGAGAAAAGGGGCGCGAAAGCGGCCTGATGGCAAGAGGCGCACAGATGCTGACTGTACCCCTTTGGTTGGACAGGTAGGTGTGGGTGCTTATCGATCGTAATGACGTGACACACATACATGCAAGAGGTTGTAATCTGAAGGTAAGCGCTCCAAAAACGCATGACAAATGTTTTGCATAAATCGCACAAAAGTTGACGTTTCCTTGTACAAAAAAAATAAACACTTCGTTGATTGACAGCGGTTAAAAAACACCCGCTTATCTTCAAACATTCAAACTGACAGACTCATCAACACACACACACACACACAGTCTTTCAACCCGTCTAGATCTACCCTCCTTACTGCTGCTTTTTCAACGAATGGTGGTCTTGGC